CCAAAAAGCCTCTGGAAAACCGAACTTCCAGAAAATTTTGAAACAAGTTTCTGCTTACAAAAACATGTCTTAGGATCTTTGCAATACGATGGTGAAAACCGCAGGCCGCTATCTATCAGTGTGATCGGGTTATTCAAAAAGCAACCGATGGCATGATAGTTTGGAACGGATATTAATAACTGTGGAATTTTAATTTGAACTGTAACGTATACATGTGAACAATATTTAACCAGCGGACTTGATGAAAGATTTTTTATACTGTAGACATTTTTAATACGTGTCTAAAAAACATCAATAGAGATTTATCTGTATCTTCCGTAGAGAGATGCTCTATTGAATAACTCGCATTTTCTTCAAGTTGCAATGGATAATTAACACGGTTTTTCTTCGAAACAGACAAACTTCTGTAAAATATCCGGATTAGTTGTTATTGAAACAAATTTTCGTTCATTAGTGGATAATTCCTTTTCTACTTTCTCTCTCCCCCTTTTTTCATCGCCAGTAAATATTAGGCATTGATTTTCAAAGTTTAATTTTCTCAATTTCTTAATCAGCCGTACACCGGCCGTATTTTGATACGGGTATTCATTGTCACGATTCATATCTGTTACAATTCGAAATGTTTCTCGATTTTTCAATCTTTGACCAAACGTTGAACGAAGAAAGGATAGAGCACTATCGGTTGTTGATTTAGCTATAAAATGAACATTAACATTTAAGGATCTTGTTGATGCTTGTTCCATATGCCGTTTATTTTCCCAGTTTTCATCAAATATATGATCATCAACCCATAATACTGACATCTTACAGAATCCTAATTCTACTTGACGCATCAATATTGTGTGATGAATATTGTCATATGAAACTTGATGATCAAGTACAATAAATACTGAATGTGGTAAAAGCAGAACTTCATCTTCATCAGGAAACATTGAAAATTGTTGTATTGGTCTACCGGTTATTGAATGGATTATAAATTTTGTATTTCTTTCTTTCGAAAAATTATCAGGAGGTGAACGACCTTTCTTTGAACTGCTAAACTGAAACCATGTAATTAATGATTCGGATGTATAGACTTTTAATTCATCATTAGTTAAATCAACAGCTCTGGACGAGACCCCCCAATAGTAAGGAATATGAGCCAGACCACGGATTAAATAATAGAGAATAATTACTGCATCATTCAAATCATCTTCGCTTAAATTCTTAATTGCTGCACCATTACTGGTACGTGCAACCATACTTGCACCCCGATTAATGCCATCGCTTTGTGAACCAGTGTAAAAGGCAATGGCAAACGCTGCTGCTCTTGCCTCGTCTTTATTTAGACCTTTTTCTGTAAAAAATGATGAATTTTTCATACTAAGATTGTCATGTTTGCTTAAGTCTTCTTCACTTTCATATTTCGCACAAACATCATAAAGTTTGGAATATGAGAATTCTTGAACCATGCCAAATATGATCGGATTAAAGTTATCCTCATAAACAAGATCGTTCTGTCGATCGTTTGTAATCATTTGTAATCGTTTTTGATCATTTGTAATCATCGTTTCTTCATCATCTGTAAAAATTGAAATGTATTCTAGTAAACGTTCACTTGATTCTAATTCAATTTGTGCTTCATCTAGTAAATTTAAAACATATTTGTCTTGGCTTTGTATTTTACCCAATGGTCTCATAAAAAAACCGTGTTTAGTTTTTGTATTGCCACCTTCTAAGTAAGAGTGTAGTAATAGTTTCTTGCTTAAGGTTGCTGATTTGTTTCCGATTACTGACTCATTTTTATTTAAAAGTACATATTTCGACTTCATTTCTAACACACAGGCTGCGTATTTTGAGACCATGTCTAATGAAAAAAGAAAAAATTCTTCTTTTTTCATTGTGTATTCATATGTCTCAAATAACAACGACTCTTACCTGTTGTAACAGTGATAACTTTTAACAATAATGTTTCTCCTGTTGCTCTAATTAATTCCGCACATTGTTCATGTGATGCTGATTCAACATTTATGTTGTTAATCTATATTAATAAAAAAGTTAATCAGTACTAATCAGTTCTGAAAATCAGTACTGATCAGTTCTAAGTATTAAAAGTTGACTAACCTCTAATAAATAATCATTTTCTAAAAGACCAGCTTTATCAGCACTACTATCTTTTGTAATTTCAGAGAGCAATTGTGATGCAGGAATCGATTTTGTTGGCTTAAAAGATGTACCAACATCTAGTAAAACAGATTATATAACGGGACAATGTCGAAATTAAATAATCACAGCTTTACTTTTTAAACCTCTTAAAACAAACCCGAAACCATTTGGTTGCCGTTTTAAAACAACTGTTCTGAGCATTGCCGTATCTCAGTATTTATATACCGTACCGTCCTAGAATGATGAAAAAAATGATATCATTCTCTTTGGAAGAAAAGAAGTAAACTATTAAAAGAAAATGTAAGACAAAATCAATCATTTACTTCCAAGGTCATCTCATATGGGCAAAACTAGTTTCGATTCAAATTGCTTCCATTTGACATGTAATCCTTCATATGAATATCTTTTTTTGCATCTAGTAGTTAGAAACATCGTTTTTACACAGACACAAGTACTAGTAACTCGAGACTTGATAAGAGAATTCCAGAATGAATAATTCTGTGCTTATTCTTAATTCTACAAAATATCCACTTCACGTTTTTTATTACGATGACAAATCTACGACGGAACAGTATATGCGATAAAGTTTGCGACTAGGTTACGAGGGGTGACGCACTCAACAACTATGCGGAAAAGATTATTTTTTGCAACATTGTGTTTTTTAATTTTGTTTTGAATCCCCGGGTAAGCAAAAAAATGTAGATGACTAGCGTCCGGACTATCTGGAAACCAAAACTTTTTCAAGAATGTCAGGACTATGGGTTCAGACATATGATCGGGCATCAGTCAAGTGTAGAAGTTTGGACGACATAGTCAAAAACTGAATGTGATTAGCGTTTGTTGAGACTGCTCTATTAGGATATTTTTCGCAGATTTTGCCTGTGCATGGACATCCATTAGAAAATTAGGTGCAACCTCCGCGCCGGACCAAACTTTATGAAACTAAGGTGGTATATGCAGAATTTCAAGGCGAATCCGACAGCGGGCTTCTTATAATTACATCTTGAGTTTTTCATGTGTCGCCACAGTCTCTACGATTTCT